AGAGTTCCATTTCAGGGTTTTATAGGCTCCCTGGGGGTTCAGGGCCCCCACACCAAAAATCCCAGTTATGAATTCTGCCACGAGGGAGGATACAGACTCTTATCTGTGCTATGCTAATGATTCCAGTAAGACTACAAAGTGGCCAGGTGGCCAGATGTCTGGGACACAGCAGCGAGTTGGTCACTAGGAAGGTGATGCCCAACTTCCTCCCAGTGTCACCGCTGCTGCTGCTGCCGCCACCAGCACTGCCACTGCCACACACACAGGCAGCCTGGAATGCGCCATTTCCGGGCGCTCCGGCGCTAGGAGCTGGCTGCAGCCTCAGGGAGACGACAAACATGTCTCTTCAGTCGGTCTCTGAAAGGGGTGCGATCAGGTGATACGTGTGGGGCGGTCAGTACAGGTGCGGAGCAGGTACTGAAGGAAGGGGGGGGTAAGATCCGCCCCAGTGTGCTTTCCCAGCTCTTTCAACAGCCCTCCCCGGACAGCGCCTGGCAAGGCGGCTCCCACGGCGCTGGCAGGCTGTGGGGAATCCGAGTGTGAGAAAGTCAGTCAAGCGGAGGAAAGGGGAAAAAAGGGCTTCAAGTCCGCCGGCAAAATACCTTTCTTTTCTGCTGTTGCTCTCTCTTTGCTACCGCTTTAAGCCAAACCCACAAGCCATTGCCAATACCTAGGGGACAAAGGAGAAGCTGCCGGAGATGCAGGTATTTGATTTATGGTTTAAAAGCAAGCAGGTGATGCAATAAGACAGAGAAATCACCCTTGGTGGAGGAGCGAGCTACGAGACAAACCTAGGAGGCTCCAAGACAAGGATGGCAAAAAACGACGTATAAACACATCTGCAAAAAAATTCTATTAGCGTGGGGGTTGAGACAGGGTCTTGCTATACAGTTCATACTGGGCTTGAACTATGTGACCCAGGCTAGCCTAGAACTCGTGGTGATCCTCCTGCTTCACCCTCCCTAGTGCTGGGATCACAGGCGTGCGCTACCACAATTTCTTCTTGAATTTTTCTGGGGAAGAGGCCCAGACACAAAATCTCGGCTAATTTTTGGTTACTTGAGCCCTCTGTCCCTGGTTAAAAACCTACGTGTGTGTGCATGTGCACAAGCCTGCATGAAGTTACCTGCTCATCCTACCAAGCTAAACACCTGACAAATGGCAATAAACGAGCTGCTGATTAACCAGAGGCTGTGGGAGGTGAGACCCCACCTGGGCCCTACTTGCCCAGCATAAACTTTCAGGGTACCAAATCATGAGGGGTTACACAGTCAGAGGACAAGGGCACTCAGCCTAGGCGGGATGGGATGAGTGACACCTCAGGAGACAGCGGACCCTGTCCTCCCAGCCTGTAGCCCTAAAGAATTTGGGGAGAGCCTGGAAAGGGTTAACACGCTTCCCTGGGGAAACGTTGAGTTCCTCGGAGAAGAATCTGGGTCAGTTTATCTGGGCAGTTTTGTTTGTTTGTTTTTTAAGTCAGGCTCAGTGTATAAGCATTTTAAGGAGCTTGTGAAGTTTATCTGGGGCATTGCTGAAAGAGGGTGACTCCGCCCTTCCCCAAGAGGATTTCAAACACACAGGAAAACCCCACTTTTTTCAACAGCAACAGACAATTTTCTGTCATGACCACGTTTCTATCTGATTAAAATAAGAAAGCCAAGTCCTACCCGGTTGGCCCAGGTTGCAGGTCAACAAAGGAGACTTTGTTCATGGTTTCTTCAGAACCCTACAGGGTGCAGCCCACTCGGCAGTTTGTTAAGAAAACACAAAAAATCCCAGAGTAGCCCAAGGGGCAAGAGTAAGTAAACCAAGCCTGCAAGGAGGGGAGGAGCTGGCTGCAACTCCAGGGCTGTCCTGTAGAGTGGGAACACGACTGGCCCTGGGTCAGACACCTGGTGTGGGGGACAGGGACCAGGGACCGGTGCGTCAAAAGATGGGCAGGTTTCTGTTCAATCGGTCACAGTCGATGCCCAGGTGCACTCACTCTACATCTGTCACATAGAATTGTCACCGCCTGACCCTAAGTGGCTTTTTTGTGTCCTGATGCTGCAATCTACTCTCTATGCCTTCACCAGGGCCATCTTCCTTAAAGGGGGACCATGAGGTCCCTTCAACTGCCGTGAGCATTTCATGGCTCTGTTGTCTAAAAAAACAAAGGCCAAAGTCCTTTATAAAGTAAACTGTTTCTGGCATAGCAGCCTGAGCCTGTAATCCTGCTCAGGAAGCTGAGGCAGGAGGATCTCAAATTCCAGGCAATATTGGTTAATATAGTGAGACCTTGTCTCAAAATTTTACAAAAATTAAAAAGGACCGGGGGATGTAGCTGATGGTAAAGTGTTTGCATGGCACGCCTGAGGCCCTGGATCCACCCCCCCCAAAGCACCAAAAGATAAAAGGACGATGTTCAAAGGTCTTGTGACCCGGCCTCCAGCTCCACACTCCCTCAAGTTCCTAGGTTGGGGGGCCTTTCATGCCACAGGTGCTTCGCAGGCCAGTGACACAGCCCACTTCAGGGATGTTCCTGTTTTTCAAGGTACAAACCACAGGCCACCTCCTCCCATTTTCCAAAAGACTCCAACTTCATTTCCCAAACTTCCCTAGGCTTTCCCTGTAACTAGACCCCTAAATGTCCCTCCGGAACCTAGGGCCTCCAGAGGGCTCTCTGGGAAATCCACAGATGTCGCCTGACTCATGAGGACCCGTAGCTCCTGGCTGTGGGCTTCCTAGAGACACCTGTGCTGCTTCTTGGGTTCACCAGGGACCCCAGCGGCACTGCTACCCCTACAGGTGCAGTTTCCTATCCTGGTTATGGCCTCCCCTCTGTCGCACCACCATCTAGGCTCCCAAAGCAAGGGCAGAGGAAGGCCCCGCGTCCCCCTCGGCGCAGCTGTCTGCCCGCATCTCCCCTCGCGGTGATCAGGTGCTTTGTCCTCAAAGGGAGACGAGGGCTTGCTCGGGGTCGCGCGGAGTCAGGAACCGAGGCGCGATCTAGTGAAATCCTTTACGTTATCGCGGTGGGGAGATCAGGGGAAGGAAGGAATGAAGGGTCTGAGCAGTGTGCCAGGCCTCCGCGGCGCGGGGGATGGGGACATCAAACAGGACGCTGGGATCCCGGCTCCCCAGCAGCCAGCAGAGCTCCCGGCGGCGGGAAGGCAGGGGAGGGG